AAATTGAAGCCACCATTTAAAAAAGTAAATCAACACAGAACTTTTACGCAAATTTTTGGTAATCCATGAATACATATTATTCATCAGGTTTTCCTCATCTATCGTTCTTTAGGCTCTAAAGATGGAAAGCCGTGTAATTACTGAACTGGCAATTATAGAGGTGAACTCGAATTTCGCCTCAGAATGGTATCATAGAAACAAATTCGAAAATTTGCCAGCTGATCATCCCTGGATGACGAATTTTGCACTAATCGTTGAAAGTAGAGTTTGAACGTTAGGTCGTGTGATTTTCCATTACACATACTTGTGGCAATATATTATGCGGCTAAATATATACTTGCGTCACCAAATCTAACCTTAACCTTTAACCAGACGTTAAAGTTGAGAATATGACAATACCATCTGAGAGAGACAAAAAATGCTTAAAATATCTGAAATTTAAAAAAGTACAAAAAAGAAACCTATTTTATGAACGGGAGCAAATTGTGCGCACCGCATGAACCCTGTAGCATGATCTGCAAGATAACTTCTTCATAGTATCCTTGAGTTTTCAATCATACACAAAAGTTTTAAGATGAGATAAAATGTGTACCTTTTGTCAAACAAGTTTGCCAAACTTCCAACGAACTGAAAAGAATTAACATGATTGACTTTTCAAGAATCATGGTTATGCAATGAAGAAACGATTGTCGGTTACCGAATACCAGTAAACAGTTACTATGCCATTGAATTGTGGAAGGACGTCTAACACATTCTGGGTCACAGCTTGGAGTAGTTGCGGTGTTGGGCAAACTATAAAAGTTCTATTTTCATGTCATTTGAATAACCTGAATAACTTGAGCAAGTACACTGGTCAGGCAAAGTTGAAAGGGCACAGAACAAAGGTTATGATCAGTCAATTGATGTTGAGAGCTAAATAAATGGGCCATTGAAAAACACGATAATTTATTTTAATAAGAGAAATTGTTTTCTTGGATTCGGCCAGGTTGCCGAAAGAAACCGCGTCTGGAAACACTCTATCAGGTAAGCCGCCAGGTCTTTTTACTGCTCTTGCTGATTTGTCATCGTCAACTCAGGCGAACATGGCTCATATAGCAAAGTAGAGTAGAATTGCGATGTCAGAGATCGTGTTCTTTCATACGGTGCATGCTAGGTAGTTCTTCTAGAGGTTGCTGTGTTGACACAAATATCTTTACTGTTGCTTTAAAGGCCAAGTAGGCATCATTTTTGCTTTTTTGTGCACTTTTTGCCATTCTCACTATATTCTAAGGCTGTCCATTCTTGCACCTTTTTGCAAATTATTTCCATTTCGTAGAAACGTTAAATTTGTCAACACTCAACACTTTAATGATATACAACACTTCCACAACACCAAAATTTCAATTTGATACCTATTACGAAAAACGTGGCCTATTAATAGTATAATATAAAGGCCGAATGTATTACTGCAATTAGCTTTCCATTGATGTTCATTGAAATTACCGGCTGCTGAGTTGTTAGCAACTGCTTCAGTGGCAATATAAATGATTTTCAATTTCGTCCAGTTGAAATTCATTAACAACATATCTGATGACACCTTTGTCCTATGCCACAACTTGTTGTAGTGAGAATGCTGATGATTATCAGCCGGTGATAAACTGATCATCAAGAAGGGAATTGTCCTGAAAAGAATGCCAGGCAATGATATGAGTTGAAATGAAAGCCGATGACATATTTTCCCATACGAGATCGGCAGCGAACATGGCTTCTCATGGAGAAAAAACCGAATTGAGGTGGCAATATCAGTGACAACTGCTGTCTCTCAAAGTGCTTTCGCAGCCAATATTTTAAATGGATGTGTGACTTTGAAAACAATTAAAATATTAGAGCCACATCTACCAATATTTTCAAGAGAGTAGATGCGCATAATCTGGATGTCAAGTGGCATTAGTACGGAGAACATCAATACGAGGATACCTTTACGATTTGGACACTTTTTGATGTTACGAAGATAACAGCAGCAAAGTAAAAGCAAACACGAACCCGTTACAAGCCTGGTTCACTCCAAGGGCAAAATGCTGTCGGTTAAATTGCAAGAAAATAAAAAATGTTCCTAACGCAATATATTGTCATTCTTTTTGTCTAGTTAAATCATATGTCGTATGCCAAATTTGACAGCTCAGCTAGAATGGGCACTGCATTGTTTCATGAAATTTATGCAGTGGCTGACTATATGACTGCTCAAGTTAGTAGAAAGACACTTTTTAAACCATTGTATATAGGGATTGCTTTCGGCTATGGCATTGAAACTTTAATATCCATATGGCGATTTTTTTCTTTGGCATAGTACGTGATTAGTTGCAACGCTAGAGTGTTATTTTAGGATGGCCGGTAGACAGATGTTCTAGAGACAGGTGTTTTGCCATTAAATTTTCAGAGCGGGCATTTTTGAATGATTGGCCGCGTCACCGTGATTTTCAGATCAGTCACAATTCTAGTTAAGTCTCCTCCTATTTTGTTCATGCGGTTGCAATGTCTCCTCCGATTATTATTTACTCAATTTATTCAGATACAGGGCATTATATATATATACTACGATTAAGCAAATAAATATTTTCACGAAGTTGACTAATCTGAATCCGGCTCGAGCAGATCATTTAGTGTGAGTTCAGCCAGGAGCGCTCGGTCGTTACTCTGCGGATGCGAGTATAAGTATAACGTGGCATAGAAACTTCTATCAGGTGCCTGTTAGACTGGAAGCAGCATTATTGTTCATGACCATCTGATTTGATAATTACAGTAAAACCAAGGGCCTGTGCGCATCCTTCTTTAGTTAATAGCATTCTATATTCTACCATTCCCTATTCCTCCTTATTCTACCGTTCCTTCTTTCTATATTCTACCAATCCCATATTGTTGCTAGCTAGAAAATTGGCCACTTTCTGACGGTCACAATTTTTACTCTGTCGTTTCGCCGAGAGTTTTGCGGAGCGGCAGGTTTATTTACTCTTTGTCGGTGGTAGGCGCTGCGACATTTTTTATGCGTCGAGCTGTCGATCGACGTCGTTGCAGCCTGTCATCTGTCCAGAAATGAACCTTAGCTGCTGTAGTCTGTTGTAAATCTGTTGGTGCTGTTCTGAACGACCGTCGGGTTAAACGTGTAGGCAGTTTCTTACCCAGTTTACAAATTTTAATAACGTGGTCGACGTATAATCCTTATGAATGAGTGTTTGAGTTAATCTTTTGTTTAATTGTTTAACACTGGTCGTTATATTTATTTTTATTGATATTGTTTATAAGCATCTTTATTTTAACGTCCGCAGTGGTAGCTGGAGACATTCTAAGATGTTTTTTTTGCGCTTTTGCGAGATATAAATTGGTATTGAGTTTCATACAAATTTATTGATATAATAACTTCGAGTTTTTGGCCGATAAAGCGCATCGATAAAAATGCACTGGTTCAGTTACATCTAGCTCCATCAGTAGGTAATTATTAAAATGTATAACAGTTTTGCCCTTATTCTTCGTCATTGTTTCAATCGGTAAAGAAGGGAGTAACGAAGGATATATCGATCTTGAGGCAAGCGGTATTTAAGCTGATTGTGGCAAGGTTGAATCTCTGAACATTATGTTTGTTTTTGTTTCATTTACTCATAACATCTGTTGTCGAACACGACGTCATTTCTCAATGTGTGGAACCTAGCAAAGATGACACAAGAAGGCCGTCTACTATGAAACAGTTCTTGTTAGTTAAAATTTCAGACGTGAATTAATGCAAATTGATTCCCATTTCAAAACTATTGCTTCTTTGGCTTTTCACCGCTGATAGATCATTGTCTAGGATTCCAAAACTTGTACTATTTATTATAACAAGTATATACAAGCAATTATTACATTGCGTTGTGTCATTCTTCGAGGTGTTTTGAAGTTAAGATCATTCATTTTTGTTTGCCCAATTTTTTACGCTAATTTATGTCAATAGTTTAGAATTGATTTTCAAAGTTTGCAGATAGTTTTTCAACCATGGCATCGGCAGCTGTGATGGATCCGTTCACGGATAAAGCTGCTATCAGAGAACATAAAATGGCTGCTCTTCGAGATTATAATACTCAACCAAGGCTGAGTATGACCAGGAAGCCTTGCTGGTGTTTTTGAAAAGTTTCACTTTTCGTTTAGGTTACAAAACAGTGAGTGGCGTGAATGGCCCTCTGGTAATTTTGGATGATGTGAAGGTAAACAGCAAACGAATTTAGTCGGTTCGTTTCTCCTCTGCTAATGCTTCGTTATTCTAGTTTCCTCAGTTTGCTGAAATCGTTCTGCTTACTCTGCCAGATGGTACCAAGCGAACCGGCCAAGTGCTCGAAATATCCGGCTCGAAAGCAATCGTACAGGTATATGGATTCATAAGAGCATACGAACCCTCTACTGACGTAGGGATCGGTTTCAGGTTTTTGAGGGAACTTCCGGAATCGACGCTAAGAACACAATTTGCGAGTTCACTGGCGATATATTGCGCATTCCTGTCTCAGAAGACATGCTTGGTCGCATTTTCAACGGCTCAGGAAAACCGATTGACAGAGGACCGCCGGTTTTGGCTGAGGACAATTTGGATATCATGGGTACAAAATATTTCTCCTGATTAATACGCTGTTACGTTGAGAACAGGACTGCCATTTTGTTAAACGTTAGTCTATCTGAAACGATGTCAACGGAGACGAGAAAATCGGTATCAGGTCGAAAATAAAGATCTGAGTAATGATTACTAGTTGTACACCAAAGTCTGCCAGAAGTGAAAAAAATCAGATTAAGCAACTCTCACCATGCAGAAAGGAGGTATCGAATTTGTTGCTGGCTGTTCTACTCTACAAAACTGCATAGAATTACAGTTAGTTATATATCTGTACGTAATTGCACAGC